AAAAAAAAAAAAAAAAAAAAAAAAAAAAAAAACAAACAACAAACAACAAACAAACAAAAAGGAAACTACATTATGATAAAAAGTACCATAGATAATGAAGTCAATCTAAACTAAAATATACCAATACTAAAGTATTTAAGTAATCAACACTAGACCCACATGCACCAAACGCTACAAGCATCCAAATTTTTAAAGGAAAAGCTAAATGAATTACAGGGAGCAGGGAGAATTAGACAGAAAAATGATGATGGGGGGAGGGGGGCCGGCCTTCAATCTTCCTCTCTCAGAACCAGATAAATCTAACCCAAAAACCAACAAGAAGTCAAAGAGAGGAATAGAATCTCAGATACACCTGATTAAGATACATATAGGGAAAAGAACTGAGTAGGAATAAAAAGGAATATACCTTTTCCTCAGCAGTACACAGTACCTTTAAAAAAACTGACCATATATTAGGGCATAAAAACTTTGTAGTTAAATGCAGAAAAACTAAATGCATTCTTTCCAGATTGCAATGCAAAAGAACTTATACTCAGGGACCATGGAAACACAATTAAAAATTAATTGGAGACTAAAATAAGATGAGGGGGTTAACAATTAAATCACAGAAATAATTTTATCAAAAAGAATGATAAGACAACCATACCAAAATCTATGAGATATGGCAAAAGCAATTATCAGAGGAAAATTTGTATCTCTAAATGATTATATCAATTAAGCAGATCAATGAATTGAATATGCAACTAAAAAAATGGAAAAAGAACAAATTTAAAATCCCCAATTAAATACTAAATTTGAAATCCTAAATATTAAAGGTGAGATTAATAAAACTGAATGTAAGAAAACCACTGAATAAATAAAACTATGAATGAATTGGTTCTATTAAAAAAATGAATAAACCATTTGTTAATGGTTAAAAAAAAAGAAAATCAAATCACTAGTATCAAAACTGAAAAAGGTGAATATACCACTAATGAATATGAAATTCAAGCATTAGGGGTTATTCTGTCCAATTATATGCCAATAAATTTAACATATAATATATAAATTAAACAATAAATTTAAGTGAAATGGAAGAATACTTACAAAAATATAAACTGCCTAGATTAAGAGAAAAGGAAATAGAATAAATAAATCTATTTTGGAAAAATAAATTGAACAGGCTATAAATGATCTTCCTAAGAAAAAAGCAGCAGGAACAGATGAAATTACATGTGAATTCTACCGAACATTTAAAGATCAACTAATTCCAATATTAAATTATTTGGAATAATAGGCAAAGGAGTCCTTACCAAACTCCTTTTATAAAACAAATATGGTGCTGATCCTAAACCAGGAAGAGCAAAAACAGAGAAAGAAATTAGACCAACTTCACTAACGAATATGAATGTAAAAATCCTAAATAAAACACTAGCTAGGAGACTATAATAATATATCACAAAGATTATACACATTGTGGGCCAGGAATGCAGGGATGGTTTGACATGAGGAAAACTATTAACATAACTGATTATATCAATAACAAAAACAACAAGAATCCTATGATTATATCAATAGATGCAGAAAAAGCTTTTATATAGGATACTCCATCTCCCGACTCCAGGAATTTTCAAAATATCTATTCTTCAGAGCCTACTTAAAATTTTACTTTCTTCGTGAAAATGTCAACCTGTCTAAGCCTCACTGACTTCTTCCAAACATAAGCTAGGCTGGCACACAGTGTATACAACAAAGTTAAATATCATACTAATATATGACTACATATGTATTTTTAGAATCTCTTTGTATAGATAGAAACTCTTTGAAGACAAGTATATATCTTAATACTTTTACTTCTATACTTCACTACAATATTCAGCATAGTGTCTTAATTCCATAAATAACTAATTGACAACACTATGATTTCTTTTCCCAAAAGACTAGTCCTTGGAATTAAGTGACAGAGCTGCTTGCTTAGCCAGGAATCTAGAAGAATAAGGTAAGGGTAATTCAAATAATTTACAAGGTAAAAATTAAATGTTCTGATCTAAAGGGTGGATTATTAGACTAGGTGACACAATGATTTTTCACTATTATTATAAATATGAGCTCATTTAGGATTACAAATAATTTATGAGGATGTATATGATATTCTTTCATATTTCATATATTCTTTCAGTCATTTTCTGCACAACAAATAGATTTACAGTTGAATGAAGTAAAAACTTTATTAATTCATTTCCCCCCCATTTTATGTGCACTCAAGTAATGAGTACTTAAATCCTACGCCAAGGGAGTACACAAGCTAGCTACAGCTCTGTGGATAAGATTCTGTTGAAAATATCCTGCATTTTTTATACATGTGGACCTACAACTTTGGCAAATTTCTCTAAAAGAAATTCCCTCCCAAGCATCTTTGTTTTGTATTCTAACCCCCCACCCCCAAAAAGTTATAACCAATAAAACCAAAGGATACAGAAGAAAAAAAAAGTTCTATTTTACTTCCAACTACCCTAAATAATGCCAGCTAGGTGGCACACTAGATAGAACATTGGACTTGGAATCAGGAAGACTCACTCTCAAATCCAGTCTCAGACACTTACTAGCTGTGTGACCCTGGGCATGTCACTTAACCCCGTTTGCCTCAGTTCCTCATCTGTGGAATGAGCTGGAAAAGGAAACGGCAAACCTCTCCAGTATTATTGCCAAAAAAACTCCAAATGGAGACACAAAGAGTCAAACATAACTAAAACAACTAAATAATCTCATATAATTTGTGCCACACAAGTTGTGCTTTGCATTTTAATTTAGAGAATATGGCAGTACAATAGCCAATGGTAAATAGTGCGGTAGTAAAATGACTGGCAGTGATTCACCTGAAATTTATCAAATTGCAGTTATTCTTAACTTGCTTTTTCCCTCTCTCTAGCAAATATTAAAATACATGGCAGGAGGAAAAAAACTTATTTTTAGTGCTTAACAAAACTCAAACAGGTAAGAATTCAGATTCTCCTTTATTTTACTTTTTTCATCTTCCCCATTCTTCAAAATCTGTCTGTCAAATGCCTAACAATATTCATTATTCTGGGAGCAGAACAGAACAAAAACCTTTAATCTTCAATCTTATGAGTGGAAAGTGTTATTGTATAGTTCTTTTTACTGTATATTTTACATATTGATTTGAAAACACATAAAATCCCAAATCCTCTCCTGTTTCTGCATGTGTTCCTATCAGATATAAAGGGGGAGGGAGGAATGCATACTTTTTTGACTTTTCTTTTCCAAAAGGCTAGGGGGGAAGGGGAAAAGGTGACGGCGGTGCACAAAATGGGATTCTGAGGTTCTTTTTTTTCTTTCTTTAAACTACAGACTTACACATTTGTGGAGGCTACTATGTAACCAGTTTAACTTCATTTCAGAACAACAGTAAATGAACCAGGACTCAACAAACACTGACTATAACTTTCAGATGAGACTATATAAGAGCCATAGCATCTTTTAAAGACATCCTGAGATACTGTGGACTATTATTCTTGTGAAGAGAGCAGTGACAGACTACTTGGCTTCTGGTGAATATGTTAAAAAAAAAAAAAAGGGGGCCATACTCACCTTCATGGGGTTTTCATCATAAGTTGGTGTTCCCAGGTCCATTTCAGCCTCATGTTCAAGGTTAGCCTCATCTCCTGGGCTTTCCCAGGTAGGAGGATCCCACTGAGTTTGCCTAGAAAAAAGATAGGTGAATAGTGACTGTTTAGAGAAAAGAAAACAAGTGTAAAACCTAAGTGGTCTTCAGCAATAAGCACAATTCAACACAACATGAAAAAACAAAAACAGTCAAGTAGATCTGCTTACCAGTAACAATACTTCTTAGAGTATTCCTCTAGTCTAATCTATTTTATTTGCTTAGTAAGCTAGAAATAAAGCTGGTTGGACATTAACTGGCTAATTGGGACAGTCACATACAGTGTGTATATGTAGTCTGTATGTTAAGATAAGGTCTCCTTGGTTTGATTAAAAGAGAAAGAAGCAGGATATAGATGTCTGGGGTCAAGAGCTCTTGGTCTGGTATTCTTCAGGTCTCCATAGCCTACACACGAAATGAAGGGCTCAGGAAAAGCCAGTTGTCTCAAGCAAATATTGTTGCATAGCTATATAATTTTTACCACAGTGTTCAGATATTTTCAGAACTGAAAAAGACAGAAGGGCTAGAGGTAAGCAGGAAGGCCTAAGAGCGAGCAACTGGAAACAATAAAATTAAATCTAGAAAATATTTATACATAATATTTTAAAGACTAAGTTCATAAGGTACTTAGAAGTACAGAAAAGATTATTAAAGAAAACAAGTGTTGGTCAGTTTAATAACTTTTCATCTTTATCATAATGATTTTGCTTTTATGAAAGATCAAAACTTCTTTTTTTAAACAAGATTTCAGAATGCTAATCTAGTCAGCGGCACACTCAATTTCAAGATGAAGAGGTTAGGGCAGGAGCATTCTGAAAAATGTACACATTCTTCTAAAGAATAGATGGGCCTTCTTTAGAAGGCCATTTCCTCTATATGTCAAGTTATCAAGAATTTAAGTAAGTGCCTACTATGTTCTAGGCATTGTGCTGTAATCAGCAATAAAGTGAAGAGGGGCCCCCTGCACTTGTTTTCCTGAGTTACCCTATTTCTCAGGATGAAGGCCCCCCCGCTTAGCTAACATAATTTGTTACTTCCAATCCTAACTGAACTCTCAGTGTGCTCTTGAGAGTTGAACCAGCTATAGGACAGGTGCCAGTCAGTCTGCACCTGAACAATAAACTGTGACCATTGTAAATAAGCAGACCATCCTATTTTCATGATCCAACAGTTCCCAAGGGAAAGTAATGCTGCTCTTGCTATCCTGCTCCCTCATGCTCTCCCCTCCCTTTCTCTGCCCTTTTTTCTTCCTCTAGAAAGGGACTGGTCCTTTCTCTCTCCCCTAAGACTTCCTCTTTTTGCTCTAATTCATAAATACCAAGGCTGTGCCTGTATCACAAGCTCCTTTGTACTTGGTGTAAGTAGCTCCAACATGAGTGTTCCTTTTGTCTTGAAATAAATCAAGTTACTACTCATGTCTTGGAGAGTTTTGACTTTTAGTTAATAGAAGAAAGGCAAAAAACAGTCCCTGTTCTCAAGGAGCTCACAGTCTAACAGGAGAGACAACTTGCAAGCAACTTTGTACAAACAAGATAAAGACAGAATAAAATGCGGATAATCTCAGAGAGAAGGCACTAAAATTAAGGACTGGAAAAAACTTCATATAAAAGATGGAATTTCAGCTGAGACTTGAAAAAAGCCAGCGAAGCTAAGAGATGGAGATAAGGAGGAGGCACAGGGGAAATGCCTGGAGTTGGGAGATGGCACTGTCCAATAAGAGGAACAACAAGGAGGCGAGTGTCACTGTATCACACAGTATGTGGAGGGAAGCATGGTATAAAATTACTGGAAAGGTAGGAAGGGGTTGGTATTAAGTTTTAAAAGCCAGAGGATTCTATATTTGATTCTGGAGATAACAGGGACTCTCTGGAGTTTACTGAATAGGAGGCTACTCCAACAATTTAGAAGTGAGTTGATGGGGACCAATGTGATACAGACTTGCTTTCAGTAAAGGAAGAGGTTCTAGTTAAAACTGTCAAGGCCACTACTGCTTTAGATAAGTTTGCTACTGAGGCCAAATTTAAAAGCACTACCTTCAATGAGCTACAAGTAACTTAACACTGGGGAATTGTTTTTACAAAGTGCCCAATTTATGAAAACAAAGATTAGTTCCTTTATACCATAAACCACTCTCAATAGCAAACAAAAACAGCTGACACTTTGAAAGCACTTTAAAGGTTATAAATATAGTCAACTTTCACCTTTTGCAGGGGTAACGTTCTTAGAAAATGGCAGGAAAGTAAAAAGCGTGAATATTGATACACTGAACCTACGGAAAATAGGTGGTTATATTCCTGTGACCACCAAAAACTGTCATTTTTTGCTAGAGATTGCTGAAAATACACTATTTTACATACAATTCTTTATAACAAAACAAATTCTCATCACATACATTTTTCTTAACATGGTCACCAATCATGAAATAATCATGCAATACACAAAATAAAACTGGTAACATGCAAAACATTTTTTCGCTAGTAATTCCCGAAAATTCTGTACCCCCTTTTTGCTAACATCTCAATTAAAAAAAACAAAAAACAAAAAACAACACACTGATTTCAGACAATATTCACTTTTCATAACACATGAAATCTACAGTGCTGCAAATACTGTACAGCAAATAAAATTCTTAAAAATTAAAACATTTTTTAACCTGAATCTTACCTTCTACTTTGTCAGTTGGCAGTATAAGGGTATTGTGCCACATATCATACTGGTGTAAACCTCTCTACTGTGGCTATCCTCTGAAAACCAAGGGTGAGGTTGCTGGGACTTCAATCACTGCTGTTGGAAGATGCTGAGACTGGCAAGGTCTCAACATCACCTCTGACACTCTCCTTCAGATGATGGATAGCATGGAGACCATGAAGGACACACCAGCTTGAAATAGTCTATCAGTGATGTCTGCTTTGTGCACCACTGAGAGTCTTTAAGGGTCTCAGACTATGGGAGCACAGCAGAACCTAGTAGACTACCAGCTACCCCACAAACTTGTGTGTATTGTGCCTCTCATTTTTTTCTCTATTGTGCACAGCCACAAATGTGCCTGATTTCCAAAGCAAAAGTGAAAATAAGGTTACTAATAAAATCTCATGGATGCTTAAACAAGCCATAAATACACAAATGTTGAGAACTGAATGCATTATCATCTCATTTGGTCCTTTCAAGTTCACATAAAGTCACTGCTAATTCCTGAACTACTTTAACAAAGGTGTCTGCATTATGGTGGCTGTGTGTTGCTGATTACCCTGAAAAATCAGCTATTGTCATTCTACTTAGGCCTCTGGAATAGCAGATGCCCAAGCAATGACAAACATAAGACCAAATTCTGCAACTGTTAACAACTAGCCAGTTACATTAGAAAAACTATACCTAAGGCTCAAACATGATTTTACCTTGTGATGACATGGTAATAGTAGATCTTTCCCTCTGGATCTCGGGCTGTTTTCCAGTTGGGAGGCAAGACGATGGTTTTTGGTTTAGGAGGTGAAGGTGGTGGCAAATCCAGAAGATTATTTGTCACAACTAACTCTGGCTAAGAAAAGCCAAAAGGAATTTGTGGTCAGTGATATACCTCCTATCTGGGTGAAAGGGACAAAAAACGCTTTCATTTTGTAGCAAACAATTAAAATGTACAAATGCCAACCGACAGATTGCGCTTTTTATTTGACTTATTTACATTCTAAAAATTTTAACAAGAAGCTTACTTAGCCAGGGGAACAATGGTACCATTATGTGTAAAAGAATGAACAGGGGAAGAGGGAAATCACTTTAGATTTCTTTCTAAAATTTCATCAGCACTGAGTTATCAATACAATCACAAAACCAAAGAATGTCGGCTGGAAGGGACCTTAAGAGGTAATCTAGTCCAACCTATACATGGCACAACAAAATTCTTTACAGTATTATGTTACAAGTGAGTATCCACTCGCATTCTGAATATCACAGGACCTCCTCTCCAAGGAAACTGATAACAGAAATAAATGTCTAATAAATATCAAAATATTCCTAACAGTATTACTGGTGGTAGCTTACAGTTAGAAATGTCCATTGATTTGAGAAGGGATGAAAAAACGGTCATATGAACGCAATGGATTATTATACTATGGATTAAGGACAAATATCAACAATTCAGAAAAACATGAAATTTGTATAAAATAGACCAAAAATAAATACAACCAAGACATATACAACAATGTGAATGAAAAGATGACCAAGAACAAATCAAAATCTATTTAACTGGGGAAAAAAAAAAGGCCTCAGAAATAATGAAACACCTCTCCTCCACCACCATAAAAGAAATATGAACACACACATATTTAAAATTTTTATCACTTTATCAGCTTTCTTTTGCTTAACTGTTTGTCTTTCCTTTAAGCAAGGCTTCAATGGGGAGAAAGAGGGTACTTGAAATGCCTGAAAAATAAAATACTCCTCTCTCCTATCTGAAAACAATCATAAAAGCCCCCAAGTAGTCTCTTCTCTACATGCAACATCTCCACTTCCTTTGGTTAATCCTCATACAGCATCTCTATCCTTGCCCCTCTTGCTTTTTTGTGGTCATTAGTACTGTCATAAGAGGGAAAGCAGAATAGATAAAATAATCACTAAAAATTGATTATTTAAGCAAGATAAGGTTTGGAGACTATATATAGGTAAGTCTTTGTGTCTCTGCTTACAGAGTTTTTTTCACATGTGGCTCCCAAATATACCTGCAAATCCAACTCAACTTTCCTCTCTGAGGAAGCACTTCTTAATTCTTCAAGCCAAAGTTGATCTCTCCTACTTACTGTCCTTCTATACAATTTAACTTGTATGTGTATATATGCATGTGTGTATATGTATATATTTGTGTGTATACACACACACACACACACAGACACCACATACACTCTATCCCACAAACTGTCTCATGTATATGTTAATGTTGTTACCCCAACTACAATAAACTATATTATGGGAAGGTGCAGTCTAGAATTTCTTATCTTTAACTGCCTAGCAATGGGCTGAGAGAGCAGGCATTCAGCAAATACTTGTAGAAATGTGGCACATAAAAACCAACATTTTCCTGTGTTCTTTTACATGTTGTATAGTACTATATAAACTTATATTTTCACTATTTTGTATCTTCCCTCCAATAACGCAGACAGCAACACATCCAAACCCATCCATTCTTTGTCAATTTTGGTCACGTCTTCCTATAAATCTACTCAACGAATGGAAAGGGGAGTTAGTGGCAAGGAGCATTTCTTGAGTTCTCCTGACATTATCTAGATAACAAATGGAATATATAGACTAATAGTTACAACTTGCTATTACTACATTACTAGCTCCATTTGTTTTTTTTTAATCATACATTTCTTTGACAAACTACAAACTACCACTCCTGAATTACTCAAACATAATATGTTGCAGCCTGCTCAAGCTCTACTTGTGCTTCTCCATTATTCTATAAGATAATCCTCAATTCCATTCTTTTGAGACTATTTTATTCTATAACTTATAGCCACACACCATCACAAGAAGAAAAGAATAAACTTTTGTTTCAGGAAGAAGTTTGGGGTCAAAGAAGTGCGCAAATTACCAAATGCAATATAACCCTTCATAATTCTCTGCCTACTCAATACTGGGACCAAGTCATTCTCTAATTGCAGTGTTGGTCTAAGATAGACACACATGCACATACCCGTAAAAAGCTCTAATAGTCTGTCCGTATAATGGTCAACATAACAAATCTTCTTTATGCCCTATTAACAGTGGATTTAGTTAATAACTGAACTTCCTTGACTGATCAGAGATTTAATTTAATAGATTCTAAAAACTTCTAGTTACCAACCCCCAAAATGTCACACATATCAAAATAAATAATAAAAAATCTGGGGGACCTCATCATTTACAGGGAATTGTCCTTTGACTGGGACTCTATGATGGAGATGCTCCATAAGAGCGACAAACATTACTGACAAGTATAATCTCTTTTTTAAGTCCTGCTTAATATTAGTAACTAAAGGAATAAAAAAAAAAGTTTTGTTATGTCCTTTTAAAGAATTCTGCATGATTTAACATGTGTCTGGGAAACACCTTGTTAGAGGAATGTCTTTAAGGTGAGATTTAGTTCTACTGCATCAGATGCTTTTTTATAGTCAAATAAAAAGCAGAGTGGAATCTCATATTACCAGCACCTTTCAGTTAAATGTATGAATATAAAGATGTATTTTACTGTGAAATATTGTTCCCAAAAGACAATTTGTTAGGAATGTCCTCTATAAATGAATAAAAATTAATAAATGGTAAAGTTGGTATACAGTTCAATAAACTAATCAAAAAGCATTTATTAAGCACATACCATTTGCTAGACATTGTTGTAGGCATAGGAGATACAAAGACAAAAATGAAATCGTCCCTGCCTCAAGGTGCTAATATTTTCTATGGAGGAGACAATATGTACATAAATACAAAATACATATAAGGTGAGGTGAGTGAGGGAGGTCACTAGTAGTTGGGGGGAATAGTGAAGTCTTTATGTAGATGGTGCTTTTGCCAAGTCCTGAAGGAAGTAAAGGATTTTACAAGGAGGCAAGGAGAGAACAAATTCCAGGTATGAGATATGGTTAGTGAAAAAGCACAGAGAGAGATGGGAAGTGGAGTATTATCAATAAGCAATAAAAAGAAAGCCAATTTAGCTAAACTACAAAAGACAGGAAGAAGGAAAACAAATGTAGAAAGGTAGTTTGGGGCCAGACCATAAAGGAATTTAAAAGCCAAAACAGATGAGGTAATAAGGAGGCAGTGGAGCATTCTAAGTAGGAGAGTGACTTGGCCAGACCTGTGCTTAAGGAAAACCATTTTGGCAGTTGTTTGGAGAACTAAAGTGCAAAAGACAAGAGACTTGGAAAACCAAGGAGGCCACTGCAATCAATCAGGATGGAAATGATAAGGGCTTGAATATAAGGTGGAGACCACGTGAGAAGGGGACTAACATGAGAGATGAGGGAAGAGGTGAGGAGAAGAGAATAATTTCAATATTACAAACCTGGAAGAATGTAAGAATGTTAGCATCTTAGACAGAAATAGGGAAATGTGGAAGAGAGGTGGGCTGGGAAAGAGAAGATAATGAGCTCTCTTAAGACATGTTTAGTTGGAAATGTCTCCAATTCGAAATGTCTCATAGCTAATTACTGATAGGGTAATGAAGTCCAGGGGAGAGACTAGGACTGGATATATAGATATGAGAATCATTGTTACTGAAATGATTATAATAAAACCCATGGAGCCAGTGAAAGAATAGAGATTAGATAGTTAAACTATTAGTAAGTAGGCACTTAATAAATGTTTATCAACTGATTTCTATTAAGTGCTTACTATATGCCAAGAACTGTTCTAAGTTTTGGGAATACAAAGAAAGGCAAAAACATGGTCCTTGCCCTCAATGAGTTCCTATTTTCCAGAAAACAAAAAAGTAAAAAACAGAACTAGAAAGCAGAGATAGCAGGAAGAGGGAAGGCAGGTACCTGAGCGGGGGTCAAAGGAGACAGTTTGGAGAAGGAGCAGACCAGAGCCTAAGTAGGATTGAAAGTGAGCATCATGGTTGAAGCTGCTCAAAACAAATTAGTTCCTGATAGAGATTCAACAATTACCAAGTTGGCCTAAGGGTGGGGTCACCTTTAGGTAGACAAGGCAGACAGTATAAAGGTGAAGCAGACCAGGAGAATAAGCAGGAAGTAAAGAATAAAAATAGGGTTAGGCCTAAAATAGAGCCCTTCAGAACACTTACAGTTAAGGAGAGTTGTGGTCAACAGTGTTAAATCCAACAGATAAGTTGAGAACAACAACCAAAAAAAAAAAAAAAAAAAAAAAAAAAAAAGAAAAAAAAAAAAAAAAAATAAAAAAAAAAAAAAAAAAAAAAAAAAAAAAAAAAGAGACTACCAGAAATAGCAATTAAGAGATCGCCGGTAAATTTGGAGACAGCAGTTCCAGTCAGATTGGAAAAGGTAGAGAAATGAGTAAGAAAATAGAAGAAATAACTATAAACAGTTTTTGCTAGGAACTTGGCTCAGAAAGATAGAAATAAAGGATATGTGCTGCAAAATGATCCTAAAATTTAGTGTTGTTTTTTGTTTTCTTTTTAAAGGATAAGAAGACTTGGATATGTTCGAAAGCAGCAGGGAAGAAACCAATACAAAGGGAAAGACTGAAGATTACAGGGAAAAGAGATGATGGGGGGAGGGAGGAGAGAGGAGCAATATATTGAAGAAGAAAAGAAAAATGAAATCAAGACTGCATATACCAGAGTTAGTGTCTTCATGAGAAGGGCCATTGCTTGAGAAACTAGAGTAAAAGAGTAAGGAGGAGGGGAAAATATCAGGGAGTTTTGAGGGAAGAGTGGCAGAAGAGGGAGCTTACAGCAAATAAGTCTCTTATTTTCTCAGGCAATTATAAGGCAAGGTCAGAATAAAACAAATGCTTACTGAAGTTTAGGCTCAGTTTAAGGCTTGACAACAAATTTCTACGTAACTTCACAAGATGTGATTTCTTCTAGCTCTTTTCAGAAACACATACAGAAAGTAGTGGGAATGAGTGATATTTTTGGTCAACTTAAATACATATAACCTGAGATTTTTTTAATCCTTTGATATCATCTACTTTTTTTCAGATACCCTGAGAGTTGATCCTTCAACAACCTAAAAACTGTGTTGTGTCCAGATTCAAGTTCCTCTTTGTATACTTAGTCTAATCCAGCTCCTTTTTAAATTTTTGTTTTCTTCAGCATCATTTTCACGTATTTTTTTTCCCCAGTTTTTGGTCCAATTATTATCCTACCTTCAGTTTCATTCTTAAATGGCCTTCTAATGACTTTTAAAATTAGGTCTTTTGCCAGTCTTTCTTTAAACTTGGGTTTTTTTGTTTTGTTTTGTGCATATCTTCCCAACGTTTTATAATAATGCTCAATCTTACACCATCCTTCTGTAAGATTTCACAAATGAACTTATATTTTAACCTGATGTTCTCCCCTTGATAGCAATCTCACTTTATTTGACAAGGAATGATTGTTGACAGTTGAGTGACGAGATCAGAAGCGCAAAGGGCTGAGAAGTGAGAGAAGAAAAAAATAAATGCAACAAAAATAGACAGCTTTTGGTAAAGAGATGAGATATAGGATGATACCTTGAGGGATAAGGAGGGTCAGGTTTACTAAAGGCTTATGAAGGAGAGGAAGACGTGGGGCACTGTTGTAACTGTACTCTAAGAGTAGAAAGGAAGAGCTTGAAAATAAGAGGGCAAGGGAAAATAATTGTGGGCTACCAGAGGGACTAGGATCATGGGTAAAAGGGTTGGCTTTGATGAGGAAGACCACCTTTTTATCAGAGACTAAAAAAAGGAAAGAAAGGGAGATGACATCAAGAGGTTTTGAGATGTACAAGAGAGGAAGGATCTCACAGTGAATAGCCTTTATACTCAGTAGAGATGAAATCTGCTGACAGGGTATGGGGAGGAGATAGTGTCAGTGGCTTGAGGAGAGAAGGGTTTTGAAGTAACCGCTTTCAGAAGTGAGATTAAAAAAAATTAAGGAAGAGTAAATGGACTGGCCTGCTAAAATAAGGGAAAAATTGAGATTAGATAAAAAAAAATTAGGAATAACTCTACTTAAGCACAGTTGTGTTCCCAAGCATCCGTTACCTGCTTTGGAACAATAGCAGAGAAAGAAGCTGGTGGAAATAATCCAGAGGTTGAACTAGGTTAAGCTTGGAAAAAAGTAGCAAGGAATTAGTGGGGAGTAGAGGTCTGTAATATTCAACTATTTCAGGGTCAAACCAGGGAAGAGAACAATGTGAAATCAGAGCAAAGGTAAAATAGCGTAGGGGAAGATTCTGAAAGGCAGAAGAATAGACACTCAAGGTGAAGATGAATAGCAGGTTTAGAAGAGTGAGGCAAAGGGCAGCTAGATGGTGCAGTGGACAGAGCTCTGGCCTTGGAGTCAGGAGGACCTGAGTTCAAATCCAGCCTCAGATACTTGACTTACTAGCTGTGTGACCCTGGGCAAATCACTTAACTCCAAACTACCTCACCAAAAAGGAAGAAAAAAAAAAGAGTGAGGCAATAGGAAAAGGAGTTTATACACAGATAAAGGAATTTCATAATTCATGAAAATGGAAGTACAATACTTGTGGATGGTGATTTGAAGAATAACATTCACAATGGTCTCAAATTATTACTCTTTGTGTTTTCAGAACTCCCTTTTTGAGAGTTTTCCATCCCTCCAGGACCAATTTCCCTTGTAGAATTTAGTCCATGGGATTCCATCTATGTTTCTTATGAATCTTTTAAGAAACTCTTCGTTGCCTTACCTTCTTACTATTTAAACTCTCTCAAAGTCTAAGGGTATACGTCACTACATTCAGATTTCCTTTCCTCTCTATCACAACTACTCAGATTAAGGAGTCATGCTTCCCCCAAAGGTCCTCATCATTTTCACCTAATTACTACCTATGACAGTCTAAGAAATGGTCAACAATAATAATAAATAAAAGAATACCAAAGAAATGGGATTAAAAGCTGTACCAATAAACAGATAAAGAGTAAGGTGTTGGTGACACCTCTCAATACGAAATATACTAAAGAAACAAAAATAAACAGAATGTACTATGAAGAATACTTAAGAAATCTGTGAGAAACCAAAATGAAAAATTGATAGAAACACGGTGAGCAATGAGTGAGAAAAAATTAAATACATGCAAAATATTTTTTACCTGCTGTAAGGGCTGAGGCTGCCCTGCTGCTACTATCGTAGTCACTGATGCTGTTGGCTGTACTACTACACCCTGTGGGTGAGCTGTAAATATCTGTTGCCCTTGGATGTACTGAAGCCCTGGTTGTGGGTAGCTCTGTAACAGAGAAATAAGGAAAATGAAACTATGATAAACAACATGTTAATTTTAAGGTAATATACTTTAAAATGGGATCTTCTAATCAAGATGGAGTTTAGGTTATCACATTTAGAAACAAAGCTTTAAAATTTCTATAAACTTTTTGGCCCATTAATACCCATATTGGGATACAAATAATAAGGGAATGTAGGTTCCACCAAAAAAAAAAAAAAAACAAAAAAAAAGCCGCGTATAGCCCAACATGAAATCACCCAACGCTTTCAAAAATTTTGCAGATCAAGTGTCCACACTTAATTTCAGCATTAATATGGTGAGTTTTTAGGAGCAGGAGACAACTTGGTTTCCTATGTAGGGGTTAAATGCCACAGATAGGAAGCAGAGCAGGTCAGAATTCTCATGCTGATTGGAAATGGGTTTGGACCTGTGAGTAGACCCTGTATTTCCAGCATAGGCGAGATGGGCAGACCCAGTCTTCAAAAAAAAAAAAAAAAAAAAAAAAAAATTGGGGGGGGGGGGGGGGAGGAATCCTGAATTGGGAGCAAAATAGTACTTAAATGACTGCCAAGGTTGCTTTCAAATCTTTGGTTTCTGTGATTGTCCGAGTTTAATCTTCCCACAAAATTCTGCACTCCCTTCTTAATTCCCTTTGCTCTTTTTTGGGATGGTAGAAACAGTATTAAGGTTAGGAAAGTTCTGTGAAAAGCAGTATAGGATTATTTTCAGCACTGTGGTACTTGACTTTTACACAATTGAATTAATTTTTCTTGTCTAGAAGCCAAACAAGTTGAGAAGTTCAGCTAATCATCATCTTTTATAAATGTTCTTATATGATAGAAACAATAAACAAGTTGGAATTAGGAACATAAAAGACCCTTGAAGAAATGACTCTTTTCCTTAATGCTCTCCTCTCTTTAGGTTTCTGTGACAATGGTTTTCTTCCACCTGTCTGCTCCTTCTCATTGTCCTTTGCTTGATCTTCATTCAAGTCAACACCCCGCCTGTCCCCTCCTCCCATTATGGGTATCACACAGGGATTTGTTCTGGGCTCTTCCATACTATTTCACTTGGTGATTTCATCAGCTTCCATAGATTCAATTATCATCTCCATGCCAATGATCACTAAATCTATTTATACAGAGACCTAACTTCTCTGCTGACCTCCAATCTCCCATCTCCAACTGCCCATTGGACATACTGAATTAGAAGATCTGAACAAGTCTAAAACTGATCTCATTATCTCTCCCCTCAAAGCTTCTCCCCTTCCTAACTTTTCTTATTACTGTGAAGGACATCACCATCCTCCCTCACACGGGCTTGCAACCCAGGTGTCATCCTCAACTCTTCACTCCCTTTCAACTCCCCTCATCTAATCTGTTACCAAAGCTGTCAGTTTTACTTTCTTAACATCTCTCACATGCATCCCTTTCTCTCCCCTGACATTGCTACCCCCTTAATGCCGGGTCTCAGCATCTCACACCTAGACTATTGCAATAGCCTGTTGGCTAGGCTGCCTGTCAGAAGCCTCTCACCATTCTAGTCCATCCTCCATTCAGCTGTTAAAGGGATATTCTGACAGGTCTGACCATGTCACATCCTCCTAATCAACAATTTCTAGTGGCTTCCTATCAACTCCAGAATTAACTATAGAAATGTCTGTTTGACACTCAAAGTTCTTCACAACCTGCCCTGCCCATCCCACCCCAACTTCCCATTCTTCTTACACCACTACCTTATACCACTCCATGTACTCTTCAATTCAGTGACACTGGCCTCCTTGCTGTTCCTTGAGCAGGACACTCCATCTCCCAACTCCACGCATCTTCAAAGGCTATGCTTCATGTTTAGTATTCTCTTCCTCCTTGTTTCCACCTCTTGGCTTTCTTCAAGTTCTACCTAAAGTCCTTTCTTCTACAGAAAGCCTTTCCTGTCCCTCCTTAATATTCTACTACTTTCTCTCTGCTGATTATTTCCAATACATTCTGTATACAGCTTATTTGTACATGATTGCTTGCATGTTGTCTCCACTGTTATTCTGTGAACTCCTTAAGAGCACAGATTGTCTTTTACCTTTCTTTGTATGCCTAGTGTTTAGCACAATGCCTGACACATGGTTGGCATTTAATTTTTTAATGAGGGACTGAATTAATTCCTAAAGAAATAGCATAAATAGTATACAAATTCCACAAAAGAAAATGTCAAAGGGTCTAGAAACCACACAAGTCAGAAACTGCTATCACCTTGCCAAGTGGAATAATATGGGAGATAAAAGTAACATTGGTTTATAAGAACAGTTCTTTGTGTGCAGCCTGTAAACTTAAAAAAACAAAAACCATCAACATATATATATGTATATATATGTACATTTACAAATAGAAAGGTCACTATATTTCAATGTAATGGACTTCCTTTGCATATCTATTTTATATATTTTTGCATATTCCTTTGCATATCTATTATATTCATAACAATATTATATATTTAAAAACATTATTATGAGGAGGGGTTCCATAGGCTTTACCAGACTGCCAAAGGGGTCCATGACACAAACAAGTTGAAGAACCCTAGATTAAGAATATGAAATCAATTGAAAAATCTTATGAATAATATCTTCTGATAAAGCAAAAAGTTAAAGAAGGAAAAACAAGTTTTTCAGAAAGCTTGATAAGCAAAGCAACTAAGCCAGATTCTAGCAATGTTTAGGATAAAATTTGGAATACAGTGATAGAGAAATAATAAAAAGGACTATTGAGGTTACTAGAAGAAACTATCCTATTAATGATTAAGGAAGCATGTTTGGATACTCCCCAACAAGGAAGTAGAAATCGAATTAAATAAGTCACAGCTTGGCTAGCTCAAGCACACAGAGGAGATAGATGCTAAAACCAACACTTTTAGATTGAGGCAGTAATGTCTCAAGCTATGTGCCTAAAGAATGGCAATCCATAATCTCCAAAGAATTAAGTACGCAAGTCAGTCAAAGGAAAAGAGATACATACTGGGCATGATTTGGCTTTAGCAAACTTCCACTGATGAACTGCTCTAGAAGTAACATGAAAAACATCATCCAAGAAATATGTCCATCAAAACAAATTTTATTATTTTGTCTAGCTCTATAAAGTATCCCACAGGTAGTTTGATTGGCATAGAATGAAATTTGTTAATTTAGGTAGTATAACTTACATTGGAACAGTCTAACCATAAGACCTTCTTTATTTCATTAACAATGGCTTTTATGTAAGTGTTAAACATTGTTTCCAGATTTTTATGCATTATGTAATTCTTTAAAATCAGAATCTTCTATTTTTTACTTTTAGATTTTATTATTATTATGCAGAAATGCTACTGATTTTGGTGGGTTTATTTTGTATCCTGCTACTTCGTCTAAGTTTCTATCTCAATTACAAAATCCAATAACAAGTACACATATTTTAAATTTTTCTTCCTTTCAGCTTGTCTTTAATTTCTCCCTTGTCTTACTACAGTTGCTAATATTTCTAAACTATATCAAGTAGTTGGGAAAGGGGACATCCTTAATTCTTGCATTTACTGGGAAAGTTTCCTCATGGTAAAAAGGTTTTAGATGTATCCTTTTTTACATTAAAAATGATGATTCTATGACAATTTTTGTATTTTTTTTTTTAGCATAAGTGCTAAAGTTTTCTTTTTTTAAACCTGGAAAGACTTACAT